TATATTGAAGTAGCATCCCAAGTTTGTTTAACTATCTCCAAAAATTGCTCATGCTTGGTCCAAAAGTTGAAAAACTTGAATGACTTTCTTTTAGCATTGTCAATGGGTGAATGAATCTTTACACAGCTTGCATAGTGATCAGTGCAACTTGGGGGAAGGAACTCTACTATTGTGTTGGGATATGCATCCATCCATCTTTCATTTACCATTTATCTGTCCAGTTTTTTAGTTATAAGCATGGCACATCCGTTATTTGTCTATGTGAAGAAAAAACCAGTTGAAACCAAATCATATAACTTAGCCTCTTTAAAGTTTGTCATTGAATAGAATTGATTCCCTAAGTAGACAAGCAAGTCCATCTGACCTTTCTGATAGAGATTTGATTTTGTTAAAATCACCACCAATAAGCTAAGGGACAATAGGCAATGCTCGACCAAGAAGCACTAATTCATTCCATAGTTCCATTCTAACCATCTCTAAGTAAAGGTCAACATATATAGCACTCAAAAATGTATACTGGCAAGACAAAGTGTTATAAACATGACTATGAATTACTTGGCAACTCATGGTAGAAACAATAACTTGAATATGGGCCTTATGAAAAATCCAAATTCTACCAAGCCTTACATAATCGTAATTGTGAAGAACAATCCAATTAGGCAATAAGAAGCTAGATATTTGCAAAAATTTTAAATGCTGAACTATCATTTCCAAGAGGCATATCACATCAGCATTATATTGTAGCAAGTACTTCTTAATGCTTCTCTGCTTACTAGGCAAATTAGTACCCCTTATATGCCAAAATAAAAACTTCGTTTAAGTTGGATAGAAGGTATGTCCCTTGAGTTTGAACTTTTCTTGGATTGCCTTTGCTTTGGTATCGGGGTCTTTGTAATTGCAACAATTCCTTGAAAAGCTGCTTGTGATCTTCTTGTCTCTGGTTAGTATGCATTTACAGAGGCAGACTCCAAGGTAGCAAAAATATTTGCAATACGAAGTACAACTTGAGGTTGATGCCTTAATCTGTAGTTGGTGTGACAGTTGCAAGTGTTCAAATGGGATTTTTGAAAATTTTGTGGTTTTTTTTTTTTTTTTTTTTTTTGTCTTAACAAAAGTGGGATAAGATAGATTTGGGAACTTGTATATAAGATGGAAAATGTTGGTTAGAGGTTTCGATTTGTTTTATCTTTGAGTAATGAATAAAGTAAACAAGGATTGTGAATATCCAAGTTAGACTTATACTGTGAAATCAATGAAGCAAGATACTTTGTCTTGAGCTTTTAGTTATTCCTTTGAAAATGACAAGAGTAATCCTTTGTAATTGTCATGTGTAGATGCAATGATTTTTATTTTTTATTTTTGGTCAAAATCTATAATTTATAATCAATGTGTTTAGTTGTCAGTCAGTTAGACTACAAAACTTAAGAGCTTTGTATGTTATTTCAATTCATTTCTAGGCACCACCTTTTAAGTGGGGCATTAGCATAGCCAATGTGGTTGACTTCTCTAAACCTTCAGAAAGCCTTTCATATCCTCAACAGATCAGTATGTGCTGCACTATTATGATTCTATAAATGCATTGTTGGCTAATTTCATCTAGTGATGTATGTGGATATATGTGCATATGTATCAAGTTTCTTATAGGCAAACTGTTTTACATTCAAGAAGTGTTTTTGTAAACTTTTGCTCTTAAATTGAGTTTAAGTGGTTTTTTCACTTTTCTCACCTTTGTTATTTTGGCTTCCAATGGTTACATGCACTGGACTCATTTGGTCATGCTACAACATTGTAATCACTCTGGTAAAGTTGTTGATCAATGAGATTAGTTGCCTCTAGAGATAAATTAAAATTAAAGTTAAAATATTCCTTTGCACTAGCTTCTATACTATGACCCAATATGTATTGGGCAAAAATATAACATAAGGACCCAAACTTCACATAATTCATAATTTTGGACCCAAATTTTAAATACACTCAATTAAAGTCTCGAACTACAGGCAATTCTCAAATAAGGTACCAATTGGATGAAAAACTAACTTCCGTCAATTCTCCTATTAACTCTGTCCGTCACGCTCCACCCAATTGAAATGTCACTTGAAAATAATTAAGCTGATATGTCATTACTTTGCCATGTGGATGCCATGTAGATATGATTCTATAGATTGTCTGGGGTGGGACATTTCCCCCAGGACATTTTTTTAAGCAACTTTTTCTTTCCCTCCCATTAAAATCTTTAGATTCTCTCCATTAAAATCTATGGTGAACAGAGCCTCAAGCTCAGGCAGCTGAAAGAACCCATTCTTAGGTGGGTCTCGCTTCACATACATTGGTTCTTTCTTCTTCTTTGATGTTGGTGAACATAGAGGGAATGTTGGTATCTGACACACCTCCCTCCTCGACATCCTGTACTCATCGTTGCTTTTATAAACCTCTTTGCTTCCACTTGCACCTCCGCCCTTGCCTCTCCACTTCCACCTACACTTGCACATCCACCCTTGCCTCTCCGCTTTCACCTGCACCTGAACGTCCACCCTTGCCTCTCCGCTTCCACCTCCACCTCGACCCCTGCCTATTTTGTTGTCTCTTAAAAAGGTTATTGAATACCGATTAAGCTGGCTATAGCTCTGCCTTCAACTTTGCCTTGGCCTTCTCCTCCCTTATTTCAAATAGATATTTCAAGATAGAAATTGAAAAGGATTTCAAGATCGATAGAAAATTGCAAGGATGTAAGAATGAAGGATGAAAAATTTCAAGATCTCATGGCATTTTGAAGGACAAAGGATGGGAAATTTCTAGATCTCTTTAAGCTTTCGCGAATGGAGAATGAAGCCAGTTAAAATTAGGGATTTTATCCCTAATTTGTGGGTATCATGAGTCAAAAAGACCAAAAGGCCCACCAGTTGATTGTGGAGCCATAAAATCATGTTTACATGGCATCCACATGGCAAAGTAATGACATGTCAACATAATTTTTTTCAAGTGGCGGGTGGAGTGTGATGGACATTAACGAAGCTAATAGGAGATTTGACGGAAGTTAGTTTTCCCTCCGATTGGGACCTTATTTGAGAATGTGTAGTTTGGGATCATAATTGAGTGCAATTGAAGTTTGGGTCCAAAATTATGAATTATGTGTAAGTTTGAGTCCTTATGTCATATTTTTGCCTATGTATTGCCATTGGCCTAATGATGCAGAATGATCCTAACAACTGCTAATGTTTTAACTTAAATGATAATTTGGATAGAATAAAAGACTTCCTTTGTAACAATTTGAGAAGAACGAAAGATGGGCAACCTTTTTCAATGAAAATGGATTTGTGATCCCTGGATATTTTGATTCTGAATTGTAGAAAAACTGAAAGTTCTGTAGTGTAAACATTGTGATGGCAAGAACAGGCCTTTACCAGCTTTCACGCAAAATTCAGTAAGTCAAATCATACCAAATCTACAATGATTTCTGTTCCTACCTGTTCCAAATTCCAAGTAATGCTTGTTTTGATATGCTAGCTAATGAATACATATACTTTTCTTTACCTGTTGGATATGGTGTAAAAGGAGAAAATATGAACTTCTAGTGTCATTTTCAATTAAAATGATAAATTTCTGTTCATTAGGTGCTTCAACTTCTACCATAATTTTCTGTGGCTTGCTCTATGTGTTCTTTCCTCTATGTTCTTGCTTTGGTTGTTATCACCATTGGTGCTGCTGTTCTAGGACTTTGAAGCACCTTATAATATTTTCTTTCTTTATTGTCACGTATGACTTCTTTTCTGAGGCGAAGCCAGCTATTGTAAAAGAATGATGACGAAAATCATCTAGACTTTCATTATGAACTGGGGCAAGCATAAGAATATTTCCTTGTTCATTCTTGAATCCACCCTACTATTTGTGGAAATGCCGTACCCCACACTGAATATTCAAGTGAACTTTCGATCAATAATGCTTGCCTGTAATTCCTTGTATTTTCCATGTATGCCTCGATGTGGAAATGCACCACAGGACATTATTCATTGCCATTGTCCCTTGTAGCAAATAAGTTCTATTTACTGTCACCTTTCTCTCATTTGTGGTGTACTTGAAAATGCCATTGCATTGGCAAATTCAGTAAATAGCCGTTTCTATTACAACAGCATGTTGGTTCAGTTTTCCTCAGTTTCTCCTCTTTTAGATTTTTGATAATTTTCTACGTCAAGTTGCATTTTCATTTTACTCCTGCCCTCACCTAGAATGGAATTGAAACAACCAACCACCTAAAGAAATCCCTGCAATCATTGCAAAAAAGGGATTTTATACTTTGAATGGTCCTTACGGGTAATGTAGCTATTTCCATATGCATTAAGCAATGTGAAAAAGATCGCCAAAAGGCTATTGTGCGAACAAAAATTGTCATCTGTTTCAGTTATATCAAGCTAGTACAATCCTGGGATGTCCTAGAAAAATAGTGAAAAACTAATGAATATTCAAGACAAAACAGATTCTGTGAACTCCATTCTTAATCAATACAAGTATCAGTAAACTCGGCAAAGTAGCATCAAGTGAAAGTCTTTTAGATTCTAGTACAAACATAAGTCATTTGATGCACCTGGCCTAAGACAACTACCACCTAGGTGAGAGGGCAAAGTGAATGAAAAATGGATCTGTAGATCAGACATAAAAATGTTCTAGTTTCTTCTTGTCATATGTACCTAAATATATGTTGAATTAGGGCTATACTTTGCATCCCAACATTACT